TCAGACTTTCATATGAAAACTGTTTTCTCCTACCAGTCACTATATAATTTTATGTTGACTATCGATATTTCCAAGCCTCAATATTCTCACCTGTGATAGTAGTTTTTTCTTCATAAATTCATTGCAAAGATAAGGAGATATAACATGTGAAGGACTTATCACAGTGTCTAGTGCACAAGAAGAAATCAACAAATGTTAACTGCTATTGCTATTAAGATTTTGAACCATGAGTTTGAACCAAATACCCACAACCTGGGATAAAAGAAGTAATTTAGACATTATAATATCTGATTCCTAATAATTAGCAGAGATTAAGAACTCACTCTGAGCTTATTATTGCATTCCACTACAGAAAAGTAATCTTAGAGAAAGTCCTAATTTTTGCTCAGGTGTGCCAGTTTGAGACTTGAGAGTTCATTGCAATGACTTTGATCAGAGCATTCAAACTAAAGTAGAAGAAAGTACACATTGGAAGGAAGTGATTTTTATGTCAGCACTATTTATCATTCTCCCTGTACAAAGGCTTGCACAAAAATAAACTACTCTGTCATGTCAGTACTTTTTACTTCTTACCTGGTCTTTTCAATATGAGTGTTCATGTCCCTCAGCATCAATAAGAAGACTATTGCTTGTAAAGACAAACTTAAATAGTCATTTTAAGTCAAAAGAGTGTAATTTGATTGGAAACATGATATTATCAAAATCGAAGGATAAGAACATTTTTAGAAATCTTTATCACACTTCCATGAACACATTGTTGAGAAAGATTAGTCTCATGTCTTATGACTGGGAAAATTGTGTGGTCTTATTACCAGTATTAATTTACAAGCAAAATACAAAGGAACATGTGATTCTATGACTCCCAGTATGAGGAAGGTTTATCTGGGGAATAATCTCACCAATATGAATAAGAAGCATTACGATCGCGATACTTATTATTTCAAGACTGAGAACAAATAGTTGAAAAAAAATAAGTAATAAGATAAAAATGTAAACGTATATCATGACCAAGGAGCTCTCTATGTACATTCCTCTATTGCATTAACTGAGATACTGCGCATGTTCAGATGTCCCTGTTTACCATATGCATGAGAAGATTAAAGGGTTTTTGCAGATCTTGACAACTTAATTGCCTCATAAAATTGCCATTTGTTTATCCTCTTTCTTCATTTTTAAGATCCTGTTTTAGCCCTACAATATTGATCATTCACTTCTATCTTCATAGGATAGTTTATAATCAACATAGTAGCTATGCTTATTCTCTCTGAATAACAGTACAACTCAAGTCTTCATTTACATCCCAGGAGATAAAACATCTACTTTTGAATTTGGGGAAAACTATTTAACATACCCAGAGGAGATGATGAGCCAATTAACAATCCTCTTAACAATCCTCATCAATGAACCCACACATTTATGGTCAATTAATTTATGACAAAGAAGCCAAGAAAATGTAATGGGGGAAAAGATAGCCTGTTCAATAAGTGATGTTGGGAAAACTGGACCGGCAGAAGAATGAAACTGGATCATTTTCTTACAACATACACAAAAACTAACTGAAAATTGTTGAAGACTTGATGATAAGACCTGAAACCATAAAACTCCTAGAATAAAACTTAAGTGGTAAGCAGATTGACCTCAGTCTTGGTGATGATTTGACTCCAAAAGCAAAAGTAACAAAAGAAAACAAAAACAAAAACAAATGTAACTACATCAAACTAAAAAGTTTCTACACAGCAAAGGAAACCACCAGAAAATGAAGAAACAACTTACCTAATGGGAAAAATATTTGCAAATCATACATCTGATAAGAGGTCACTATCTGAAATATATAAAAACTCATATAACTCAAGAGCAAACAAAACAAAACCACCTGATTAAAAAAAAAAAAAAAGCCAGAGGATATGAATAGATATTTTTCCAAAGAAAATATACTAATGGTCAACAGGTACAAAAAAAGTGGTCAACATCACCAATCATGAGGGAAATGGAAATCAAAACTACAATGAGATATTACCTGACACCTATCAGAATGGTAATTATCAAAAAGATAAGGCATAACAACTGTTGGCAAGGATATGGGGAAAAAGGGAACCCTTGGGTACTGTTGATGGGAATGTAAATTGGTACAGTCACCATGGAAAACAGTATAGATATTCCTCAAAAAATTAAAAATAGAACTACTATGTCATCCAATAATTCTACTTCTGGGTTATACCTAAAGGAAACAAAATCACTCTTT